AAAGGGAGCGTCTGAGCATGAGACGTGGCGGTTGTTAATGCTAAGGGCGTTCTCTGGGGGGAGGGGGCGCTGCTGGTGAGTGGGAGGGAGGTAAGGGCTCAGGGGAGCAAGGGTGATAGAATTGGGGAGGTGAATTCATACAGTCTCAGGCTGCCCCTTCCTGGGACCTGGGGACTCTGGATTTGGCCAATCCCAAGCTTCTCCTGCTGGAGGCATCACTTCCTTGTTAGAGGAAGTAACATAGGTACCCCAGAGTTGGGCCAGGTCGGGCAGGATAGGCCCTGATCCCCAATATAGAGCAAATCTAATGGAATGTTGCCCCTTCCTCAACTCTGCCCATGCTGGATTGCCAGGAGGAGGCACGACAGCAGCAGCAACATCTGGCACTTCCCGGGCCCTGGCTCTATGCCCAGGGAAGCCCCTCAACACACTGTGATGTGAGAATGTGTTACTGCCCCCGTTTTGCAGATGGGACTGTTCGAGATCACACAGTAAATGGTAAATTTGCCCGGATCCAAAGCCTAGATTCTATTCATTCTTCTTTCTGGCCTTCTCAAAAGAGGAGGAGAAAGAGGAATTGATTTCGGAAGAGATTCCTCACCCCCTCTGCTAGGGAGTAAGATCATACTGCCTTCCCAGAGCCCTGTGTCCTGGGCTCAGGCCCCACCTGGTGTGAGCCCAGCCAGCTGGGCAGGGCTGGACTCATGAACCCGGCAGACAAAAGTCACCATCTCCACACGCTGCTCCTCCCGGTGGTGAAGGCCGTACGTCTGTAACAGACAAGGGGACCCTCAGCCCAGGGGCAGGGCGGGGTCCATGCACCCCTCAGACTGGCCTCCGACCTCCTCATTCCCTCTGCACTCCGCTTCTCCTACCTGGATCTCAAAGCCGAAGGTCTGGTTCTCCTCCTTCTCCAAAGTCAGCACTTTCCTGCAGGAGACACATCTCATTAAGACTGTCAGGATTAAAAGGAGCTTGGCGGTCCCAGAGCATGGCCCTCCACGGATGCCGGAGTCTGCTCCAGAACATCCAGGCTGGGCTCACTGTCTCCAGCGACAATGCACTCTCCTCACAGCCTGTTGGAAAGTCCTTCCCCATACCCAAGTGAAATCAGCTTCATCGAACCACAATCCAGCCACTCAATCCAGCCTCCGTGGGGAAGAGACACTGGAAATGACTGGCCCCGACGGGGTGGCCGAGCTGAGTTGTTCAGCCATACCCCTGCTTTCTAGAGAGCCCCAGAGGACCACTCACTGATGAACTGAGGCCCCAAACTCGGCCCCAGCCTGGAGCCTCCTCTGCTCTCAGCCTTAGGGAGAGGGCTGGCCCCACCCCCAGAGGCCAGTCACGAGGCTCAGCCCAGACCACAGCTGCTCCTCCCAGCTGCGGTGGGGCCAGCCCACCAGATGTGAGAGCTGGGGGGAGGGGAGCCTGGAGGCCGCCCCTTCCCGCACTGAGGGCCTGCCCACTGGACACAATGGTCTGGAGTCGCTCCAAATCCTCGCCTGCTGGGGGAGTCCAGAGTTTCCTCTGCCCCCTCCCACCCCCTTCCTTCCCGCCCAGCCAGAGGCAGAGTTACAGCAGGCTCCAAAGGCCCCTTCAAGTCTCCCAGCCTCAGAAAGGCCCTGGAGACCCAGGTCCCCAGCTCCCAGCCTGACCCAGAAACCCCCCAATGCTGAGCAGCAACTGCCAGCCCCACCCCAGGTCCTCTCCACTTCCAGCCAGGCCTTCCCCCTCTGTCTGTGTTGGGGCAGGGAGCAGGGCGACTGAAAATTCTGTGTTTTCTGGAAATGTTGGTGAACTTTTTCTGCAAAGGATCAGATAGTAAATATTTTAGGCTTTCTTTTTGGGACCCATTCCGGCTCTATCCTATATTGTTCTTTGTTTTTATTTTTACAACCCTTGAGAAATATAAAAACAACTCTTAGCTCAAGGGCCAAACAGGCCAATCTGGCCAGCAGGCCATAGTCCAGATCCATTTTAGAAGAAGCCAAGCCCAAATCAGGCCAGGACACAGGCAGAGTGGGGCCCGAGGTTAGCACCCACCGCTGCCTCATCTCAGATCCTTCCTAAGGGGCCACCACAGGAGGGGACCAGCACAGGACTCAGATCCTGGAGGCAGCCACAGCCAGACTCAAGCAGCTGGACACAGCTTGGCTGTGGTCTGGGCCATGGGGGTTTCTGGGGTTGGGAGCCCTCAAGGGAGCCCTGAAGACTTCTCCTACTCCCCCACTTCCCAGATCCAGATCTCCCCAGGGAGGGGTAACTGGCAGGCACCGGGGGTGGGCTAAAGAGCACCTGATGACTCAAAAGTTCCTACCTCCTTTCTCTGCCACCCCCTTCCCACAGCCCACACCCTCACCTGCCCGTCACTCTTAGCAAGGGAGCCACGCTGAAGGGGTGGGAGAATGAATCCCCCTGGCTGGGCTCAGATGCTGTGTCGTGCTGCCCCCCTCCCCACCCCAGCACCCCACCCTTTGGGACCAGGGCAGGGGCTGGGATGGCGGTGACTTACCGCTGCTGTTCAGGACTTTGGCTGAGATTCTTCCAGCGGAATCCTGAGCCCTGGGCGGGAAGACAGAGACTCAGGAAGGAGCAGATGAGAGAGGGGCTGTCCTCGAGCAGATGCTGAGAGCCTTCCTCTGGGGGGGGGTCCCTCACCTGGGCTCCAGCCCTGGACCCGGCACCTCCCTTCCTGCTGCCTGTCTGTCCAGGCCCAGTTCCGCACCTGCTCTGGTGCTGGTGTAACTATTTGCTGAATGCCTCTCTCAGCATCTCTCCACAGCTTCCTCCCTAGGCTTTCCCCCCTTGACGGGGACTATGGGGACATAACAGTCCTCCTGGGTTCCAGATGCCTGAATCTCTAAGCCCTGTGCCGGTTCCCAGGCCAGGAGTGGGACCTCTAGATAGAATAGCCTCCACCCCAGGGTGCAGGTCTGCAGGGGCTCAGATATTACTCAGAGGAGGGCAGGGGGCCCCTGGGCTTGCTTATCAAGGCACTCAGAGTCCTCCAGCCAGTTGGGTCTCTCCTCCTAATTTCTCAGCCACAGACAGTAGCTTGGGGGGCCTGGGGTCAGGCGTGCGGGTCTGGAGGGCCGGCAGTCCTAGCCTGAACATGGAAAGGCAGGGGACAGAGGAGCCAAGCCTCTCTCCCAGGACCAAGTGTGGATCCCAGATGCTGGTGGCCAGCTGTGCCCAGCTCCACCTGGGTCTCTGACATTGTCATATATTTAGTTGAGACCTTAGATCTCAAACTTGTCCTTAAGTCTCATTAGACATAAGGACAGATTGGGAGTTCTTTTTTTGGGGGGGGGGAGGAGGGATGTGAGAGTTTCTGCCTCTTTAGGGCCCTTGAGAAACTAAAGCAGTCTCTCCCTCCCTAAATTATTGATCCGTGGAAGAATCCCTGTCCTGCACCAGCCCTTGTCCTTTGGGCCCCAAACAGCCCACGGCCGTGCCGGTCAGTGTCCTTGTTAACCCTCCCCCTAGGCTGCCCCAAGGCTAAGAAGAGAAGGGGGTTCTCTTTCTCTGGAACCAAAGATTGGCCTCAGGGGTGGGGACGGTTCCCAAATGGGCCACGGAAGAAGGACTGGGCAGCATAGAGAGACCCCTTTGTCTTTCTGCCCGATTTTCATAAAATGCAAATTCTCAACAAGCTGTTCATTGTGTGGGGGGGGAGCCAGGGGCCAGGGGAGGAGGAGGGCGGCTGAGCCGGGAAAGGCCACCAGCCTCCTCTCCTTAACCTGGGCCCGCCCCGCCCCCCCCCCCCCCCGCCCAGATCCCTGTCGGGCCGCAGGAGGAGCCCCGCGGAGGGGGCGACAGAGGGCGGGTGCGGCCGGCATCCTTCCTGGCCCAGGGGCGCCCTGAGACCCCTCCCACCGCGTCCGGTCGCGGCTGCAGCCCAGGAGCGGTGGCCTCGCACCCCACAGCTCAGACGCAGGGCACGGCGGCCGGCCGGAGCCGGGGCATCCGGGCGTCCCCTCGAAAGGGTGAGCGCTCGGAGTCAGCGGCGCCGCACGTACTTCCTCGGCCAGGGAAGGCACGCGGGGCGTCCCCGCCCGGCCCTCCCTCTCCCCCGGGCTCTCGGACCCTCATCGTGTCCGGGCGAGCGGCGGGACCCCGGCCCTAGGCCTCCCTGCCCCAACTGGAGAAGCCCGGGCGAGGGGTCCTGGGGCCTGGAGACCCCCGGGCGCGGGGGGCTGAAGGCCAGACGGAGCGAGCAGGAGAGAGGGTGCTGGGGGGGGGGGTCAGGAAGGAGGGGAGCGAGACTGGGCGCGTGGGGCGCGGAATGGACAGGCACAGAGATCGGGGAAGGCGGGGATCGGGCGGGGGGTCTTGCGCCTGTTGACAACGGGGCCCAGGGGTCTCAGCAGGTTCTGAACGTGTCCGCGGGGGTCACCGGGGAGGGCTCGGTGGACCCCGAGGGGAATGTTCTTGGGGTCAGCGGGGAGATTGGGGTCAGCAGGCACAGACGGGGGAGGCTGCGGGCTTGAGCAGGTCCTGGGGAAGGGACACGCGAGGGGACCGAGAGCTGGGGGGCGGCGGGAGGTGGCGGGTGGGGTACGCACCTTTCGGCGGGGCAGGGTGCCCCCAGACACGGCAAGCGCGCGGTACAGCTCGGCAGGGTGATAGTCCTCCAGCGCCGCGTACAGCTCGTCCCCGGGGGGCCCGGGGCTGGCGGCTGCAGCGGGGGGGCTCGAGGCCGGGGTTGGGGCCGGAGCGACTTCCGAGTCCGGAGCCCGGGCGGCGGGGTCCGGGGTGGCCGCCGCCTCCTCCTTCTGCTGCAGCTTCCTGAGTCGGCGGAGGGTCATGGCTCCGGCGCCCCTCGAGGCGGCGCTCGCTGCGCGCGGCGGGGCTGGCGGCGGCGCGGGGATGCCAGCCGGCCGAACGGCGGGTCGCCTCCCTTTATAGGATTGGAGAGCGGGCGGGCTGGGGGCGGGCGGGGAGGGCCTCCGGTGGCCTCGCCCCCAGCGCAGGAGGCCCCGCCCCCGGGGGGGCCGCTTCTCCGAGCCCGGCTCACAGCGCCCGCCGCCGGCCAGACCGGGAAACTCGTGGTGGGGACCTGAGCGCTCGACGGGGGTAGAACCTAGTCGCGGAGGCGAGAGGGACAGGGCATCCCGGAGCGGGGCCAGGGGTCTGCATGATACCTGGGGGATGCGGGTGAGGGGGGGGGGGGCGGTCTGTGAAGGGGCTTGTGCACGATATTTGAAAATTTAGGGATGGATGGCTTTGGAGATTCATGGAATCTGGTGGTGAGGGGACAGTAAGGGGTCATTGTGAGGGGATTTGGAGGCCCAGGGGAAGATTCTAGGAGTCTAAAGGGGAGAGAGCGCGCGGGGCTGTGCACCCCCAGAGCGGCATAGACGGGGGAGGGGGGAGGTCCCCGAAGGAGGGAAGAGATGCCTGAACTGACACTGCAGAAGCCCCCACGCAGTGACAGGGCCCAGGATTTCCCCTTTACACAGCTGCCCTAGAAGAGTCGAAAGAGCCTGCCTCCACTTTCCATGTCAAGGGGAAAGGGAGGAGGTGGAAACCCTGAAGCAGTCGACTTCATTCTGGCCTGTCCCCTCCGAGGGTCCGGAGTGGTCCCTCCTGGATAAACCTGTGCTCATCTCCTGATGGTGGAGCTCAGATACCCCTTCCCAGCAGGTCCTCACCGTGGGGCTGACTCATGGGGAGTGGGATGTGACTAAGTTGAGCAGGTGCTCAGGGTTGGGGGGTGGTGCTCAGCCATTCTCTGGCCCTATTTTCAGGACCATCCTGCAGGCTAAGTTTCGGTGGCTGCCAGGCCACGGGAGAGGTGGGGATGGCCCAGCTGAAGTCTCTATCGTCAGTGGTACCCGAATAAGAAGTGAGAAGAGGAAGTGGAAGGCCAGGTCTGGCGTCTAGAGAGCGGCTAGCCACCACAGGACGTCAGCACCACTGGCTGGGGGTCCATGTCCTGACATCGACCACGAAACAGAGGCTGGGGAGGCACAGTTCCATCTGTCCCCTCCTCCTCCCGTCTTCCCACATCTGTCTTATGCCTTTAGAGCTGACATTTATTGAGCATTTGCCATGTGCCGTACACACTGTTCTGCATGTGCTTTTACATACATGTATTAACTAATTTGGTCCTCATAACAACACTATGAAATAGGTACCATTATCATCCCTTACAGATGAGGAAACTGAAGCCCAGAGAGGTTAAGTAACTTGTTCTAGGCCACTCAGTGGCAGAGCTGAGAGTCAAACCCAGTCAGCCTGGTTCCAGAGCTTGCAGTCTAACGGCTATGTGATGCCGTCTTCTTCAGTCCTTCATTCTTCCTACATTTAAGCTCTGCACCGTGCCAGGTCCTGGCTAGGCTCAGGGGTTACACAGGCTCTTGGTCTGGTAGAGAGTGGGACATGTGCTGTATTAGACGGAAGGCATGAGGGCTCCAGAGGGGCTGGCGAGGCCAGGATGTCTCCTGTCCATCTCAGTTCACCTGTCTGTCTCAGTCTCCTCGCCTCCTCTGTCTGTCTTCTCCCCACCCCCAGGCCCCAGGCCCCAGCCCCTACAGGAGGTGTGGGTGGGAGGGGTGCTTCTCCACCCCTCAGTGATTACACAAGTCCAGATGGCAGGATGCTTGTTGGGTGGGGGGCAGGGGTGGATTGGGGACTGCGGGAGCCAAGAGCAACCCCCTTAGTGCCTTCCTCCCACCTCCCCCCCTTGGCACCATGAAGTGGCCATCAGCTGAGGGGCCGAGGGGGTGTCGGTGGGGAAACATGGGACTCTATTGTGAAGCATTAGCACAGATGGACCCCTGGACCGTCTGCTGCCTGCTCCTGACAGACGGCATCTGTGGTGGGGGTGGGGGTGGGGAGGCGAGCAGAGGTAGGAGAGGCAATGGTTTCTATTCTCTGCACTCTGGTGCTTATCCCTGAAGGGACCCACAAGAGGGCAGCTTGTTTGTAAAGCCTCTTCTGGGAAGGACCACCGCCCCACCTATCCCAGAGGGTTTCCTAAGAGGCACCTTTGCCTGAGACCTGGAGAAGCCGACCGCACGGGCGTCACAGCACCTGTGTCTGATGGCCCTCTGGGGACATTCCTCCTTCAGGCTGACATGGAGGCCGTGATTCCCCTCAGTGTGCAGAGGAGTCTGCCTCCCCGCATCCAGGTGAGAGAACACCACTGGAGAAGTCAAGTCGTAAAGCCAGGCAGAGAGCCCTAGAGAATCCCAGAGGAAGAGTGGGCCCAGGAGGTGCAATGTCTGTCAGTCTGTCACATGATTTCTTCAAATCCTGGGATTTCAGAGCCAGAAAGGGCCTTGTGGTCTGGAAACGATACCATGTGGTCCAAGCCCTCATCTAACGGAAGAGGCAAACTGAGGCCAGGGAAGGAAAGATGGTGGCAAAAGGGGCTTGAACCCATTAGATCCCACTAGATGCTGACTCCAGGGACTTATTAATTCAGCTGCTGGTAGCTGCTCTGAGAGCTCAGAGATCCATGCCTGCTTCCTCCTCCCAGCCTCCCCAGTTTCTCCAGCGAGGTGATGGGGAGCCCAGGATGCCACACGATGGGGTGGTGATGCCCTCTGGTGGCCAGGAGTCTCTCGGTGGAAAATCTTCAAGCCAGACTTTGAAGGGATGTCTCCCTGGTGGCAGACTCCACCTGGAACCCCGGCCGGGTTTACAGATACCCCACAACTCCTCTCCCACCCAGGGGTCTGTGTTCTACTGAGATGGTCCACTTTGGTCACCGAGTTCTGGAATCTCACACGTGTCCTGGTTAGGAAGTTGTCTTTGATCTCAGCCAGCGCTACTCTGCTGCAGGTGCAATCCATCAGGGAGAGGGCAGAGAGCTGGCAGGCCTCCTCAGGGCAGTAAGTGTCACCGCCGGATAGTGCACGAGGCCCTGAAAGCTTTGCCTTTTCCACCCCTCCAAGACTTCCTCCTAAGCCCGAGTCTCTTGTCTAGCATCTGTTCTCATTCTATCCTGGGCAGTCCCTTAAAGATGGGGGGAGGGGCATGCTGCACGCCTCCCCACCCTCATACTGGGGCTCCGCCCCCTTCTGTTCTCCTCCCTCAAGGAAGCCTCTGTGCAAAAGCCCCATGGCTCTGGCTCCTCAGGCATCTGCCATCAATCTGTACCTCACTCCCCAGCTCCCCGGCTTTGGCTTCCTTTTGCTCCGGCTGCCCTGGCTCCCAGCTGTGGGATAGGGTTTGGTCTGTGGTGGGGGCACAGATAGCAGGGGCTTGGCTCATGTAGATAAGAAAGACCCCTTCTCCTTGGGACAAGCCCTTGCCCAGATACTTGACAGTCAACAATCCTCCACGGAGTACATGGGAAGAACTGAATCTTGCCCCCACTGACCTGCTTAAGCCCTAGGCTGCCATCAGAAAGTCAGGGCACTTCGGGGAAGAACACCAGAACCTCAAGCCCCTCTGGAGTCTGACGCCATGTCAGAGCTCTAACAGCATCATTTCAGCCCAGCCCTGGAAGGGGTGAACAGTTTGCTGGGGCTTCTCTCTGGGTACTGCCACTGGTTCTAAGCTGGGGAGGTGGGAGGGAGAGTGCCAGGGACTCAGCTGGCTCTCTGGTCAGGAATGAGGGGCTGGGCCCCAGCTGCACGACACTGAGGGAGGCATGGACAGCCGGTGGGCAGCTGACTGGGCAGGGAGTGGCTGTTTTTCTTAATGGTTCCTATTACCAACAGTTTCCACGGGACAGCGTCTGTGTGTGGTACTGGGGCCCAAGGGGGCCTGGCAGCAGGGGGGATCCAGACAGCCCGGAGACCCAATTCTAGGGGGTCTGGGAGTAGGGCCAAGGTGGATGTGAGAGTTTACTTGTGTTGGATATGGTGGCCTCTGGGTCTAGTCCCGCCCAGAGGCCAGGGACCATCTTGCCTCTTGGGTGGGGATGGCAAGGTATCTCCGACTTGAACAGGTTAGACTGGCAGAAGGCAGGCAGGGTAACTCTCCAGCTTTCCTTAGGGCAGCCACGTGCCATTCCTAGGACATAGCATGTGTATTATTTTACCCACCTCATTTAGAACAGGTACAGCTAGCTAGGACAGAACATGACAGCTCTGCCCAGGTCTCCTCCCTCCCGGCAAATACAGCTGCTCTGATGGCTCATCCCCAGTTCTTCCTCCCAGGGGACAGCACTGTGCACCAGGCTAAGATCCCCCCGTTTGCTCCACACTGAAGTCAGATGCCCTCTTTCCCTGTTTGCACCTGATCATGCCCCGTCCCCCTTTCCTCCAGCTGTCCCTCTACCACCACCACTGCCTCCGAAAGTCAGTACTGTGATCTCCCCCAGACACAAACGGGGTCGCATCACTCCCCCGCCTAAAACCCTGTAATGGCCTGTTCCCCACATCAGGAATGACACCGCGGTTTTAACTTCTGGGACAACTCCACAGAAGCATGCTGTTGAGGAAAACTTGGAGATCAAGTCCAGACTGAAGGGGAAAATTACTGATTAGCACAGTCTGAGGTAGCTGTCCCAAGGGAAGTGATGGCATTGGTGGCCCCCGGAAGTCTTGACTTCTCAGCATGACAGTTCCAACAGACCCTCTGTGCACCCGGCTCCCTTGCTCTAGCCATACTGGACATCTGTGGTTCTCAAATGGTGGGCGGCACACTGTTTTTGACCAACCCCCCCACCCGAGTCAGTAGGCCAATGCGTACTCCAAAGTAGATGACATGTCACCTCTCTCGACCTCAATCTCCTGTCTGTCCTGTGTTCCCAGGGCATTCTGTGTCATAGCACTTACCTCACTCCGGTAGTTATCTATTCACTGGTCCATTCCACCAGGCAGGGAGCCCCTGGAGGGCAGGGACATGTCATCTGTGCTCCCACCGCACGTCGTGTATTGCCCTGTAATGGGACTTGTCAAAATCTCCTTCACTGTTCTCTGTACAGGTCCTCTCTCCATCCTGAAGAGCAGAGACCAGATTTTCCCTGCATTCTGCCTACTGCTTCACACACTGTGGTCGCTCAACAGATGCTTATCAAAGAGGGCCCAGTCTATCCACTGTTCCTGAAACCTTCCTACCCAATTGGCCCCCAGCCTTTGCTCCCAAGGAGCATTCCCAGAGGGACCCGGGGCTATCTGCCACATTCCTTAAATCCCACTCTGTCTGACCATGGGATGCCCAACAACTTTCAGGGTATGGTGCCAGTTGTCTGATCAAACACTAGCCTAGATGTTGCCGTGAAGGTATGTTTTTGATGTGATGAACATTTAAATCAGCAGACTTTGAGTAAAGCAGACTACCCTCTATGTGGATGGGCTTCATCCAACCAGTTGAAGGCCTTCAACGACTGAGGTCCCCTGAGGAGGAAGGAATTCTGTCTCCAGGCTGCCTTCAGAGTCCAGACTGCAACACCAATTCTCCCCTGGGTCTCCAGCGTGGCAGCCTGCCCTGCAGATGGCAGACTTGCCAGCTCCCACAGTCGTTGAGTCAATTCCTTAAAATTATCCATCTGTCCATCCATCTATCATCCATCCATCCATCCAATTAATTCTGTTTCTCTGGAGAACCCTAATACACCATTCCCGGCTTGATCCAAAGCCTTCTCCCGCCCCCAACCTTCATTATGCATCCCTCACATGTTCCCGAGTCTCTCTTGACCTCTATGACTCTACTCCAAATTTTGTTTTGTATTTAGCAAGCATGTTCTCCAGACTGTAAAGTTTAGAAGACATGGCCTGGGAGACAGAAATTGAAGAGGTGTGAAACAAAAGCCCAAGTGATACGCCATTCAGATGAATTCGGGTCTCCTGTGTCATGGGTCTTACAAATGTGAAACGTTGTTACTAACCTTCAAGGGAACATGAAGAGGTAGTGATTTTCAAGAGTTACTGCAATCCATAGCCTAGTGAATTTTTAGGTCCATGCCTGGCAAGAGGACATTCACTGGATGGCTTTTAAACTGGGTTGAAATTTGCTACAAACCACTTCACCTTTCTTTCCCACAGACGGGTAGATCAGCGATGCGGCAGCCCCAATAATACCTTGCCACTTGAGTGAGGTACTCTGGCTTCTGCTGTTATCTTTGTCCATGAAAGAATTATGGCCAGGCACAAGGACAATTTAATTAGCAGCTGATCCCGGTTATTGGGATATGTGCCAAACTTAAAGCCAATTTCCAGAAGTGTTACTTGATTTTCCCCAGCCTAACAGTCTCAGATGGGAAAACAATGGAAAATTCTGAGTGACAATTAGCATTTTAAAACATTGACAGGGAGCTGGCCCCATGGCCGAGTGGTTAAGTTCACGCGGTCTTCTTTGGCAGCCCGGGGTTTCACTGGTTCAGATCCTGGGCACAGACATGGCACTGCTCGTCAGGTCACGCTGAGGCGGCGTCCCATATAGCACAACCAGAGGCACTCACAACTAGAATCTACAACTGTGTACTGGGGGGCTTTGGGGAGAATAAAAAAAAAAATTTGGCAACGGTTGTTAGCTCACGTGCCAATCTTTAGAATATTGACAGGCTGGAGCAATGAGCAGGTTCTATGGTAGAATTTAACGGGGTAGACACATAGGGTCCTGCACGTTAGTTCAAAATACCAACTGCTCCTACACAGGATGGAGGAAGGAAGAGGTGGCTGGATTTTACTCAACCCAAGCCAATTAATGCAGTCCTGGGAGGTGACCTGCAGGTGTCAATCACAGTCTGGGACTCTTGTTCTGGTCTGTGCTGTCAGATGATGCCTGGATAGGATGTCAGGTGCCCTTTCTGGCCCCAGGTTCTAGCCAGGTTCAGCGGAGAGCAGCCGGCCTGGGGGGAAGAACATGGAACCATGGAGGCAGGAGGGTGAGAGGCTAAGGGGCTGTAGCCTGTGGTCAGACATTCTGGACTCAAGGCCTTTTCTACCCCCATGAGCTACGTGGGCAATTTATTTGACTTCTCTAACCCTCAGTTTCCTAATCCATAAAGAGAGGACAACAATGCACATCTCATATGTTGTTCTAAAGATTAAAGCAGTTGACACAGTCATGTGTTGCTTAACGACGGGGATACGTTCGGAGAGATGCGTCGTTAGGCGACTTCGTAGCTGTGCGAAATCACAGAGGACACTTACACAAACCTAGATGGCGGAGCCTACCGCACACTCAGGCTGTATAGTACTAATGTTATGGGCCCGCTGTTGTACATGCTGTCTGCTGCTGACTGAAATGTCATTATGCGGCACACGACTGTATACATAATGCAAATTTTGGTGCATTCCTTAACACACAGTAAGTTTTCAATAAGTATTTCCTAATATTAACTGAAGAAACTCTAACCTTTGCCAACTTCATGATAACATGACCGCTGCCTTCAAGTATTTTAAGGGAGCTTATATGGAAGAGAGGGGAGCAGCTTGGAACCGCCTGTGGATAGAAGTCACATGCAGGCTGCCCAGTTCTACGTAAGGAAGAGCTTTCTACGGCGCAGATGGCTGGCAGGTGGAAGTTGTGGTCCTGAGGTTACAGCATGTGGCCCACAGCCACCTGGCAGGGATGCTGCGGGGGAGTCAGGCACCTGGTGGGTGGTGGACCAGACCTCTAGTCCCACCTAAACTTGAGATTCTCTGATTCTAGGACTTGCTCTCTTGGGTTCCCTCGGCCTGGAGACAGAGAGACACTCACAGCCACCCACACGCTGAAAATACCAGAGTAACCTCTGAAGACTCCCACTGAAGCAAGCATCCCCAAATTCATTTAGACTCAACCTACAAGGGGTAAAGAAAAAACTGAAGGGAGTCAGGCTGCCTTCGAGACTAGGCAGTTTGTGACTAACCAGGATCAAGACTCTCTTTTGTATAAAGAGGGAAAAGGTAAAAGACGAATATAGACAAAGCCCGAGACAAGGTGTCGTCTGTCTTCTGCTTACTCTCACATGCAGGCCGTCCCTCCGGGAACAGCGAGGAGGATCGGCCTCAGGAAGGCCCGCGACATTCAGCGCACAGCTCCTGCTCGGACAAGGTCGGCTGCAACTGCGCTACCACCAGCACCCGGCCGGGGAGGGCGGGAACGCGACCTCAGAACATCGCCCATTCCCAACCGCTGACAAACGCCGGGCAGTCAGGCCACATACGTACAACACATGGCACCAGAAAAGCTCTGTGAATAAAACTTTAATAATGTACAGCAGAAATTGGACAGGCTCATTCTTATATTAAAACAAAAAATTTCCTATATTACAACTTATTTACATTTGCATACTGAAGAGGTAAAGTGTCTAAGTGGCTATTTTACAGTCCTTTCTAATAAAATGTACAAAACAAACAGAAGTACCGAGAATGCCGTTCGGGGGCCTTGATGGCGATGTAAGAACGGGCTTGGACTTGGTCTATGAATCCAGAGGAGCAGGTAGCCCTATGGATCAGGGTTGGCCTCAAGGGGCCAAAAACCACGGCTTTAGGCTTAAGTTTCTCCCCAACTCTCTAACTCCTAACTTTTGATGTTAAGAGTGGCAGGGGTGGGGGCGGGAGCTTCCCAAAAAACTGCTCAGTCTTCCCCAGAGGTGGAGGAGCTAGACTGCGTGTGTGGGGAGGACAGAAGGGCCACCTGGGGAGTGGGCCAGTGGCTTGGGACTCCCTGGTCCAGGAGTGTTGGCAGATCCCAGAGGCTGGTTGTGACTGGGGCAGGAGTCTAAATTCCATTATCACCTAAACCCACCAGGTTCTGCTGCAGGGCGGATAGGAGGGGCGTCAGCAGGGGTGGGGAAAGAAGGTCCCCCAATGACACAATTGGTGTTCAAGGGAAATTAGTCAGTAGCCAGTAAATTGGCCCAAAGGATTAGGGGACGATGTCCTCTAATGCAAGGACAGAAGCAATTCACCAGGAAAATAAATAGCGAGGCAGCACGGGGAGACGGTGAGAGCAGGGAGAGTGCTGCCCTCCTCAAGCTTTGGCAGAGGCTTGCTGGGCTGGGGGTGGGGGTGCTCTGAGGCTGCAGACAGACTGTGCCTCCCTGGGGGCAGGAAGGGGGCTCAGAATGAATGCCAGGATTGGGGTCTCACTGCCCACGGTTTCTTTGGTGGAGGGGGGCGGGCGTCCCCGCTCCTCGGTGGGCTTCTATAAGAGCAATCACTCCAGGCGCAAAAGGCTCTCGGAACCGACTAAGAAAATTTGGGGTCTCAAAGCAGGCACCCCCCACCTCAGATCAGCTCCTTCTTCAGGGGTCCAGGAGCGGGACCCGCAGCTGTCCTGCTCCCACACGTCTTCCAGCGGCTGCACCGTGCCTGGCACCCAACAGACACTCAGCAAACATTCGCTGAATAAAAGCCTGGAGGAGAAGGTGCAACCCGCTGCGCAACGCACAGAAGGCTAGGATGAGGGCAGAACCACTCGAGGAGCGGGTGGAGGCAGACCCCAGGGCAGAGAGAGATGTCACCGCCGAGGGGCAGGCTCAGGGACAGATGCTTCCAGTGTGACTGAGCTACGTGCATTTGATTGGAGCATTTTTTTGTGGTTGTTTTTATCGGGATTTCTTTAAAAACGAATAGATTGAAAGGTAATCATCACACAGAGATGGTTCTCCTTTTATAAAAACTTAACAACATTAAAAAAAGTTAAAATCCAGACCCTCCCAATAAAATTAAAAAAAAAAAAAAACAACAAAAACCAAAAAGAACACAAAAAACCAAACCACTCCAGTTAAAAGTTATGGCTTCAAAGTCATCATATACCTAAGGTACACTGACCAAACCGCCACCCGCCGCACTTCTTGACGTCGTTAAACACCACGCTCAGGTTAAGTAACAGGTTCAGCTCGGGCTGTGCCTTTAGCAGGGTCCCTGCAGTGGACGCAAGTCTCACATCTTCCCTCCACCGTGACCAGATAATCCAGGAAAAGACCCATGCAGACGCCTCCCCCCACCCGACTCCCTCCCCACTCCTGCCCCCCTTTCCCTTCCCCACCCTAAACCCACCACCACCAAAAATATACACTGCTGTTTCCAGAATCTGGGATATGAAAGACAGATGTGACATTCCAATCTGAGTTCCCAGATCTGGGCTTCAAATTCCTTGGCCCTTCCTTGATGCTGTTGAGGACGATGCCCTTGGGCTGGCTCACTTCCCATGGTTGCTACTGACCACAACACCCAAGACTTCCCCCAAGATTCTTTCCCTGCCCATCCCACCTCCCTCCCTCACATGTGGACCCCAAAGCCTGGCCTGCCATGGACAACTGGGCCAGCTTTGGTTCCATGGTCTGAAATGGAGAAGGAGAGCTGTGTCAACAGGGGCAGGCAGAGCAGGCTCCTGGGAAGGGACTTCCACAGTGGCCTGGGGGTTCCGGGGCGGGGAGGGCCCCCAGGGAAACCAGACGCTGCTCGCTACTGAACAGAGGCACCAGCACGCAGAGACGGCTTGACAACCACACTCCTGACCTGCACATGCACAGAAAGCTCAAGCAGGTAGTGCGCACCTACACACACAGACACACACACACACGTGTAAGGGCGTGGCACGGACCAGGCACAACAGGGACGCACCTCAGCACATGCACACACGGCTGGACAGACAGGTGGAAGAGTCCGTCTCCACTGGCAGTCCCTCCAGACATCCGTGTGAGGGAGGGCAGCACGCGGCCCAGGGCTGCCTGTGAGAAAGGCTGTACTTCCGGTTCCTCTGGACCACCTCGGTGTGCTGGGCTCGGTCCCCAGAGGAACACGCTCGGTGCTGCTCAGCACTGGCAACACTCAGCTTCCCCTGGGCCCTCCCGGCCACCCGTCACCACTCCTGGCTACAGGCCAGATGCACCAGGTTTTGCGGGACTTCCCACTACGACCAGTTCAAGTCGTGGCATCGAGTTCTCCACACCATCCCCTCTCAGAGTCTCCATGCCATTAGGAGGTAAATATAAAAGATGTCTGTGTCTCAAACCCAACATGGGAGTGAGCGAGTCTCCCGGGCTCTGTCCCTCTTGCGGGCCAGCGCTCCTGGCCACAGAGGGCTGGGCAGAAACGAGAGGTAGGCCTCCATCGTACGCTCAACATGGCAGCTGCGTGTCGTTCTCGCTGCCCAGGGCTGCGTGTATGCGAGGGGAGCAGGTTAGATCTTCACATCTTCCTGCACGCTGAGCTGTGAGAGGGTCTTCTTGATGCGCAGAGCGGTCAGGCGGGCTGCGCCGTTGGCGTACCAACACTCTCGCATCATCTTCCCCATCACCCGTAAAGCCTGCACACAGAAACCCAGGGCATCAACGCGACCCTGCCCCGTGGAGGCCTTCCTGACTCCTCGGCTCCTCCTCGCTTCTTGGTGCCATCTGTGAGAATCTCCCCACCCCTGTGACCCCAGGGACAGGCTCTGCAGGCTTCCCGCGCCCCTGGCTCTCCCCTCCTTCAGGGACAGGCTGTGCGGGCAAAGGAGAAAGCCGCAGCCTGGAGAGGGCAGACCTCTGCAAGTACCGTCGGCTACCGCCCGTCAGCTGGGTGACCTTGAAAGAAGGAACTGCAAACAGCCTGTGATCTGAAAATCCTTCCTGTTGAGTTTGAGAATCTATTTTTATGATTGTTTACCAGTTATTTCTTTTAAGAAGTAGCACACGAAGCAGGCCAAGAGGACACGCCCGGGCATGTGCACACACACGGCTGGAATCCCATGGCCCGCAGGCAGAGATGCGGGGTGGGGTTGGGGCGGGGGGTGAGGCAGCACAAAAGGAGCCCCGAAAAGCAAGCTCATCAGAGGCAGAGCTACAACGCCACCGCCCGGATGGTCAGGCCAGGGGGTGGATGTGGAAGGTCACCAAGGACTGCTACCGGCTACTGGGGGCTACAAAGCTCCTGTGTCCTAGCCAGTGGGTTCCAAAATTCCTTCTAACAGTGGAACTCACTTTCCAAAAGCAGTCCGAGCAGAAAAACAGCACTGAGGGAAAAGGCCGTGGGGCGGGGGCAGAAAGCCCAGTTCTATCCTGAGGTAAAGCCAACCTCACGGCTCCAAGGAACCTGGGGAAAAGGCTGCTCTACGACACGCGGGCACACCACTCAGGCTGACACGCTCAGCTTGTTCGGAAGGGCTGCACCGCCCTCTGGTGGTCACTCCACAAAAGTGGAGCCAGGGAGGAGCCCAGGGCCCGCAGCCCAGCACACGCAGCTGCCCTCATGGCTCGAGGACCCAGACTCCCAGGCCTATTACGAGTCTGTATCACACATTTGTCCTCATTTCAATCACTTCCACCGAATGCTGTCCTTTCCCCACTTCATCTGCATCTCTCCCAAATTCAAATTCTCCACGCCCTCCTTGCCTCTTCCGAGTTTAGAAAGGCCCCCTCCCTCACAGACACGTCTTCTCGTGGGGCCCGCCCCTCACTCTTCTACAGCCTCACGGATGCCTACTTCGGGAGCTTAGCTCATCCTGCGGCTCCAGAGCCACTCTCTAGTCAGACAGGTCGAACAGCTCCCGCTCGGCTTTTCTTCTGTCTCTTGGTGACCACCTCTCTTACCTGTGTCTTGGGGACCAAGCCTTTTTCTCTTACTAGGCTGTCAGCTCCAAAGGGGACCCTACAGCACCCAGGACAAGGGATGGTGGCCCCTCAGGGACTGGTAATAACAGCACATAGTAGCATATAAGAGCTGACACGTGCAGAGGGTACCCCTGGGGTCGGCCCCACTGTCAGGAAGCCCTTTCCTAAGGCGAGAAGTCAGGCAGGTGGGAAAGTCGCAGGAGGCGGAGGAGGCTCCTACCTCGTAACTCTGCCACCAGTTGGGGATGTTGGGACGGAGCTTCTGGTCACATACGACCTTTCGCATTTCCTCAATGGAAGGGTCAGAGGGCACTAAGTCGTAATATGGCAGCTGATATTCTTCGTGGACTCCTGAGAGAAAAGGAAAGAAACATCCACTGAGCTAGCAACAGGAGGAAGAGGTTACTCAAACGCCACCACCACCTCCCACACTGTGACCTGGGAACACCACGTCCCACTAAGAGGAGCTAGGGCTCCCTGCAGAGCTTAGCCTGTTCTAGGTGTGGACAAGACACACACCAGATTAGCCAGGAACATCTTTCTCATACCAAAAAGCAAGGAAGCTATCAGAGATTAGTGAGGTCATGTCAAAAGCTATCAACTCAAAAAACTCCCAAGTGGCCAAAGATGAGATAACTCAACAGAAACAAATGTTTTAAATCTACCAGTTCATGATACTAAAGAACCAAAAAAAAAAAGCCCCTCAGTCACATTTGTAGGATGATAGGGAACAATCTCATTATTTGGAACAATTGATAAAGAGATGGAAAGAGTTAAGAATTTTCTCTGCCTTTCCTATTCAAACTATACATCTTGGTAACCAAATTGACAATTAGGAGAAGTTTCTCTTCTAGCTAATACATGACGATTGACAGAAGCACAATATTGGCATTTTTCAACGTCTAATGAATTAGAATTTGGACAATGATCTTCGATGGCCGTTCACATCACAAAAAGAGAGAGAACCGGCGTTATGTGCCTTATAGCAGGAGGATTTTGGGGAAAAAACCCCAAAAACTATGTATACACAATTATAGTTACAAGATGTAACTATCATAGGAAATTCACAGGAACAGAAGAACATGTGAACCTCAGGAAGAGGCAATCAGCAAAATCTAGACAAAAAAAGTTTACAGAACAAACGATCTGGATTCCCCAAAAAAGAAACTGCAGAAGAAAAAAAAGTAGAGATGGAGCCTGTGGGTTATAAAGATTTAAGAGGCGTATCAATCAACTGCAGTGATGGACAATACTTGAACCCAGATTTGAACAAACTGTTTAAAAAAAAATCAGGAGACAATTGGGGAAATCTCAACACTGACTATGTTAAAGGATATTAATTAACGTTCATTTTTTAAAGTGTGGTAATAGTATCATATTTTTTGAAGTCCTTAACTTTTAGAGATACAAACAAATATTTTTCATGATAAAAAGATAACAAAAAAAAAATCCAATGTAACTTTCTCCTGCTTTTTTCCCAGGAAAAGTCCTGCTGTACTGAGCTAAGGGACAGATTTTAAACAGAGGCTGATTTGGTAACTATCTAAGGGGAGTTAGGAACTTCTGCCCCGGCCTCAGCCTGTCGGAGTTCGAACCCTAGGTTATCAGCCCTGTGACTCAGGACAAATCACCTCACCTCTCTGTGACTCCTTTTCTTCATCTGCAAAACAGTGACAATACCCACATCACAGGCTTGTAGTAAAGATTAAGTGAGTTTATACATAGCAAGTGGTGAATAAACATCAATATTATTGTTACAGGGGCTGGCCCCGTGGCCGAGTGGTTAAGTTCGCGCGCTCTGCTGCAGGCGGCCCAGTGTTTCGTTGGTTCGAATCCTGGGCGTGGACATGGCACTGCTCATCAAACCACACTGAGGCAGCGTCCCACATGCCACAACTAGAAGCACCCACAACGAAGAATATATAACTAGGTACAGGAGGGGCTTTGGGGAGAAAAAGGAAAAAATAAAATCTTTAAAAAAATATATATATATATTATTGTTACATACTTAGGCCCCAATTTCTGGACAGTCGGAGAAAGAAAAAATTAACTTATTCACAGTTTAAGACTTGTGTGGCCAGAGTTTTCTTCACTTGTTTTATCTGTACAAAACGATCAAAGTTTAAGATGCAGAACTTTGTGATGAATACCTGGGTGCTTCCGCCATAATCTGGATCTCACTAAACACACAGATGGAAAAAGGCAGTGATGCACAAAAGGGCTCTGCAGGGGGACCCACCAGTTCTTTCTAAGTCAACCACTCCCTGACCTAGAGCGTCCGCCATCAGAGATCAGCAGCTGAGCGCAGGCTGCTAGCGGTTCCTGACCTGGATCGCGTGGCAGAATACTCAGCAGTCATCGTAAAATACTGATGTACTAAGCTGACGATAAAAAATGTTTTCTGCTAAATCTGATACTATCTTTTACTAGATTCCGACACATATGCACAGTTGTAAATGTCAAAGATTTAAGAAAAAATTATACGAGAAAAACTCATTTTGAGAAAATTCTATGCGTTAACAAGCTTCCTCCAGCAAACTGAGACGTTACCGCCATTGTTTTGTCAATGAAACCCCAGGGCTGCCCAGGAACACGGCCTGAGAGCTGGTGTGTTAGGACATACCGCTTCCCGTGCATGGGAGACCCCTGCACTAGTTCTGTGCTGTCCCACCAGGGCCTTCCCACCCTCTGTGCACCGATAAAGAGAATGCGTTTAAAAAAAAAAAAGCCAAATGAGCCTCCACGATGGTTACCACAACGTACAACACTATTCAACAAGCCTTAGCGCGGCTGCCTCCAAGGTTCGTCATCTTTCATGAGAACCCTGAGTGCGATGCGGGCCCGGGCACCAGGCATCCGACAGGCTGTAAAAAGAAAGGAGGCAGTAAAAACACCAGCATCCTCGGTGATCAGCATTCTGGACTGGGAGGCAGGAGAAAGAGAAGGTATAAAAGGAAGGTACCTCCAGAATTGCATCTTCGTGCAATCTCCCAATAGACGAGCCCGAGGGCGTAGATATCCGCACACTTGAAGGAGTCGAAGTGCTTCGTGTTGATGGTTTCATCGAGCACTTCAGGGGCCATGTATCTGCAGCAGCAAAGGAAACTCTATCACGCACAGATGACGGCAACGCCTCTCACTCCAAGTGCTGGTTCAGGGGCTCTGCATGTAGGACAGCACCACCCCGAGAAAGCCCCTTGGGGAAGGGACGCTCCACTCTCTTCACTGCAGACTCCCACATGTTCTGGACTTGAATCTACTAATGCTTCAGCACAGGTCTGCTGACACTAGACTACTCCTATTTGTACCTCTATTTTTAAACCATCGAGAGTTATTTCCAGCGTGTTTTGATTTCTTGGCAGAAGTATTTGTGCTGTGGGTGGCAGGGCAGTAACAGCGCATGCTATCTGGTTGCTACTGGGGTCTTGGACTTTATCGAATGCACCCACAGTGACGGGCTGAGGTGAATTTCGAGCGTCCTTTGTTATCTGACCTGACTGCAGATACACGAACACTAATTCCAGAGTCATGAAAGGCCCCTCAGTTAGTCAGTACCACTCGAGCTGCTCCCCCACACAAAGGCAAACCAGGGGTCCCCTCAGGCCTCCCCCAGGGCCTGGGGTGCAATCACTCAGGTGAAAAGGAAGGGAAAAGCAGCAGCGCAGGAGCGCGCTCCCTGAGATTCAGATCAACAGACCTCCTCCTCGGTGCTATCCACACAGTTCTGTCTCCAGCTGCTGAAGTCAGTCCACAATCACAACTCCTTACTTCACCTCGGGGTGAAGTGGGGGGCAGGCCCATAACCCTTAAGAGTGCCCAGTCTGCACCCTCACCTACATCTGCTCTGGCTTGGCAAACCACGCTCCCTGCCTCCTCAGCGGTCTCTGCATAAGCCACCCCTGCAGGCAGTGCCATTTTCCCTCGTCCCCCAGCCGGCCTGCTGTCCAACCCCCTTCCGAATCTTGCTCCAGATTCTCTTTCTCTGCTGCCTCCCCTGCCAAATACCACCACCATCTACGCGTATTCAGTCCTACGGGGCTGTGCTCTTGGCACCTGTGTCTGTTCAGTGCAAGCCGCACAGTCCCGTGTGGGGAGTGGGCGCTCAACTCCACCTCCTGCTGTCTCAGAGTGAGGACCACACCTCCTTTCCCTACAGGCCCTGCTCCTGAGCAGATGGGACAGGGCACGTGCGGGCAGCTCACTACAAGTGCAGGGCAAGGGCAGAGGCCTTCCTACCGTTTGGTTCCCACCCTCTGGTTTGGGGCAATGTCAATGGTGTCGGTGACCGCGTCATGACGGACAGCCAGGCCCAGGTCTGCGATGGCGCACATGCCGTTTTTCTTCACCAGGATGTTCTTTGACTTCAAGTCTCGATGAGCAATTCCAGGCTTCCCTGGCAGGGAAAGAAACAGGGATCTTTACAGAAAGATAGTATAAATGGTAAAAGCATGGACTGTGCAGCCAGACTGGGTAGGTTCGAGTCCTGGTTTTGCCTCCCACTAACCCATAACCCTGGAGAAGCGACTTAACCCACCTGCACCTCTGTCTTCTCATCCATAAAATAAGACTAAGACCAGTACTTACTTCAGGGGAATGTTGTGAGGATTAAATGCACTCACGGAGGTGAGTAAAGAGCTTAGCAGGGCATGTGTATTAGCTAATATTACTACCAATACCAGCACGACTGCCCTTCCCTGAACGAGTGTGCTCCAGTCCAGAAAAGCTGCCGCGCTGGCGAGGTTCCCAGGAGACTGCTAACATCAGCACAGAGGCTGGCAACAGGACCACACTCGAATGCTGGCTGTCTGTCCCGGTCAGCAAGAGCTGCTGCCCTGGCCGACCAGGATTCAGGGAGCCCAGCCGCCACCCCAACAAGATGCAGGGCCTCAAAGGGCTGATGCTGCCCTCAACCAACAAGGTCGCTCGAGGCGTTGCTCCTCCAGGAAACCTTTTGCGAGGGGTCAGGCCCAGTGTTTTCATCCACCCAGCAGTCTTTGAGCCAGCTGTCCCCAACAATGAGTGTGAAGTGACAAAAGTGAAGCCCCTGCTCGTTAGTCTGGTTAACCGTCTTAGTCCCATTCCTTCCCACATGCGCTGCAGGCTTCTGAGACCTCACTCAATAAACACTGGCTCACCAGCCAACAACTATGCAGGCCATCGAACGACAACTGAACACTTACGTCATGGAGTCCCGGGGGGCTCTGAAGACAGGTGAAAAGAACCCCGAGACACCTCTTGTTCACACTCAAGTAAGGCTGAGACCACAGTTCCCAAGGTCCAGCTCCAGCCTTCTCCATAGAAAGGAGTTCTGGGAGCTGAATCAGGATGGCACAGGCTTCAGGGCTACCCACCTTCCCGGGCCTTCAGCTGGGTCCACTCACCTTGGGTACCCACGATCTCCATGTGCAGGTGCGCCAGCCCACTGGCAGCAGACAAGGCCAGCTTAATCATGCCCTCAATCGTCACGGTGTACCGGTTGAGATAATCGAACAGGGAGCCGTGCTCATGATAGTCCGAGACGAGCCACAGCTGTGTCCAGGTGCCATTATCTGCAGAGGACCACAGAGAGCTCTGGGGAAGGCGTCCCCGCCAGCACAGCGGCCAAGGCGGGAACGAGGAGTGTGCACAGCACCAACCCCAGCCAGGTTCCTGACGCCCACTCCTCGCCTCCACCCCGAGGCTTCCTCTGTGCCCGTTTCACTGACAGCTGTCCACCAGATTCAGGTTCCAGGAAGGACAGAGGAGCAGCATCCTTTCTTACACCTGCTCCCTTGTTTCCTGCAGGATTTCCTGCAAGGCTGCAGAATTCTGAACAGTGCTCCATTACGACACCAACTGGAAACTGAGGCACCCAGGAGGAGGGGCAGCTCATGCTCAGGGAAACAGGTAACATCGTGGCTACACTGCTTTGATCCTGACGAGACCTGCTCATCTACTCGTTAGCGACCACGACGAGACTCCACCACTGCCCAGGTCCTCCTCTGCCCCCCAGCACCTTCTCGTGCCGTTTCCTCTCAGCCCCTCACCCTGACCAGGCTATGAGCTCTGCAGAGCAGGAAGGAGCTCCTGCACACAGTACTGCATTCCAGGCCAAAAAACGCTTTTCAAGGCACAAAGAGCACACTTCCAAGGATTCCAAAGAGGTCGTCTCATGCTCAGAAGAGCCAGGGAAAGGCGGAGAGCCCGCACTTTCAAACACCGGGGCGGGGGGGGGGGGGGGGGGGGGGGGAATGGAATTCGCGGGGGAGAAACCAAAACCTGGTAAACTAATTAGGCTATGCTGCTGTTACCAGGAAGGCTGGAAATTGCATTGGGATCTCCCAAATTCCAGGCTGGTGCTGGTTCCAGGACACTATAATAAATGTATCATGTTAAAAAAGCCAGGACGATTTTCTCCTCCTGCGGCCCTAATGTGAGTTCTGACAGCCAGCTTCCTACTCACACGAGTGGCCAGAATCAATAAAGGGAGCAGCTCCTGGAAAAGTACCAATGTTGTCTTCTCTGCTGTGAACAAGGTCCACCCGACACCCCTCTCCCACGCCCGCCAGGCGAGGTCTTGAGGACCCGGGCAACAAGCCACAAGGGAAGGCATCTCCTGATCCTTTAGAATATTCACTCTTCCCTTTCTTCCCTTGTGTACGAGTCCAAGACTCTTCAGCTTGGGGGCAGCTGAGGCCACTCCAACCCCCCCCCCCCAGCCACATGAGGAACGAGCAGTCTGCTGTTTTGTAGGAAGGAAAAATATTTAGCGCCCTCTGTAGGCTGTGCAGATCTTCACTTCTCGAAGCCACTGCCCCAGGAGCAAACTGTGTCGTGGCTGCCAAAGACGCTTCTGAAACGTAAACCCATCAGCTCGTCGTCCTCCTGACTCGCGTGCACCACCTGCCACGTGCCTGCTGTCCCCTCTTCCTGAGAGCGGTGAGGGCAGGGCCTATGTCATGATCTCACGTGTGATAATCCAAGCAGCTGGCAGAAGTCCTGAGCCACAGCAGTCAATAAATGCTACTGAATTAATGAATGAAATTTCCCTTACTACCCACTATCTCACAATAGAACACAGTCCTCTCAAAAAATCCCTTCAGGGGCCAGCCTCGTGGTATAGTGATTAAGTTCACGTGCTCCACTTCAGTGGCTCGGGGTTTGCGGGTTCACATCCCAGGCATGGACCTACGCACTACTCATCAAGCCATGCTGTGGCAGTGTCCTACATACAAAATAGAGGAAGACTGGCACAGATGTTAGCTCAGGGACAATCTTCTTCAAGCAAAAAAGAGGTAGATTAGCAACAGATGTTAGCTCAGCACCAATCTTCCTCACCAAAAGAAAAAAAAAAAGAAAAGCCCTTCACAATCTGGCCCCCACTACCTCTCTGACCCGTCCTGCTGTCACACAGCCATGCCAAGTTACTGGCAGGTTCCCAAACACACCTCTTTTGTGTGTGTGTGTGTGTGTGTGTGTGTGTGAGGAAGATTGACCCTAAGCTAACATCTGTGCCAGTCTTTCTCTATTTTATGTGGGTCACTGCGACAGCACAGCCTAATGAGTGGTGCTAGGTCTGTGCCGGGATCCGAACCTGTGAACTCTGGGCCGCTGAAGTGGACCGCACAAACTTAACCCACCACACCACTGGGCCGGCCCAACACACCTCACCTTTGTACATGAATCTAGAGTGCCCCTCTCACTAGTTTTTCTTCCTGACCAACTCCTGCCACCTCTGCCTCAAGCTCAGGTGTGACCTCTCGGACCCCCATTGCACCCCCAATTTGTGCTCACTAGAACAGGTGGTTGTTTGGTTACTTCCCACAATCAATCATTAATTTACTCGTCTCTTTGCTAGTCAGGGAGGTCCTCAGGAACGAGGACATGCTGGGCACACAAGAGAGATTCACAAACTAAAGCAACACTAGAGGGAGAAGAGGAGGAAATAAGGGGCTTCCGGAACCAGCAGGCCAAAGGCTGAGCCCAAGGCCATGAGGCAGCAGGTCGGGCAGCACGTCGGGGGAGGCAGGCTGTCGCTCAGCTGCTGCTCCAGGCAGAGCTGGGTTTGCTGCTGGCGCGTCACAGAACGTGGATGACACGCTCTTCTGGGGCCATCCCTTCCAGGCAGGGGATGAGGCCACAATTCCTCATTCCAGTTGTTTTCAAGGAAAACTTATTGGAGGCCCTGCAGGGACTACCCTGAGGCGGGCTCGGGAGCGTCGGGGAAGGAAAGCGGGCAGGTAGGGAGAGGCCTTTATCTCGTTTATCTGCTCAATAACCGCTGGCTTGCTTGAGAACCTGGGTTTCTACACAAGCTTTGCGCAGAAGACACGTTTGAAGACTGTCACCTCATTCAGAGTCTCTACGGGCGACAACTCTGAAGGCAAACAGAGCTGGCTGTCCCACAGCTGTCCCGCATCCCCAGTTGCCCTTCCCTCTGGGCTACTGTGGGCTTTGGGATCCCCTGGATCCAAACCGAGCCCTTTACCTTTGTTGTCGGCAGCGATGAAGCCAAGGATGTTTTCGTGGCGCAGCATGACCGTCTGGTATATCTCGGCTTCCCGGAACCAAGACCGCTCTTCACGAGAAGAGAAGATCTTCACAGCCACATCACCACCCCTCCAGCGGCCGCGCCACACTTCTCCGAACCGGCCCTTGCCAATGATCTCCTGTAAGACGATGGTTCGGGCCACTGTGCGCTGGACAAAAAGGGGCAACCCTGTGGGTGGAAGAAAGAGGAGAGCTGATGCAGTACACCTGCTAAACGTTGCACCTCTCACTCTCACTGATACGCTGGCACAGCCCTCCCCACCGGCCTCATTCTACACGGGTCCAGGACCATGGAGAGCTGCGGCCGCCTGTAGCACGTCCAGGTAATCCAGGCAGCCAGCAACCAGGCCAGTGAACGCAGAAAGGGAAATGCGTACCATTAGCTGTTCCTGATCTAAGCGATTTCTCCTCTAAGCTGGGACGGATGACAGATTGAATATAAATGCCTGACCACATTTACCAACTCTGCAGCTAGCTTCCTGCAGGCCAATCCACCCACACCTGCTTTATGCTGATGGAGGAGGAAAGAGGGCAGAGAAGACAAAGTGGGAGCTTGAGCGCTGGGAGCCGCCTTCTGGCTGCTCTGCTCATCGGCCACGAGAGGGCAGTGCTGTGCGGCCCATGGAAGCCAGACAGTGGTCCGAGCACACAAGGCCCCCACCCCTTTCCAGAGATCAAGTCCTGCTGGGGGTGGAGCTCCAGATGTAGACCAGGACCACCCACGCTTATTCTAGGACAGCTTCTACTGTCTTTATAGCACCCATTTATTGCCTCGTGTGACCCATTCACAGTCTCCGATCTATCCAACCACCTCTCCATCATGAGCGACTCTGAACTCGCACCCCCTCTCCCTGGCCAATCAAACAAACATGCTCCTAATCCCTCCACCGTTGTGTGGACGTGAGCTCCCATTCACCGTGCAGACACCCATCAGGCAGATACTGTTGTTACCCCAACTACAGATGAGAGATCTCAGGCTCATAGGGGAGGTTAAGCAACTCATTTGAACTGAGACCAGCAGTAAGTGGCAAAGCAGGGATTAAAATCTAGGACTGTCTGACTCCAGAGTTTATGCTTTTAACTACAACAGTACAGAACCACCAAAACATTTCCCAAAGTAGACCCCTCCTCGCCACCCACTCTGTGCCTGTCCTAATTCTGGCCCTTCTGTAAGACCTCCAACCGGCCTTTCCGCCTCCCTCACCCTGCTCCTGCCCTGCACACCCACACACGGCCCCGCCTCGCCGGCCTCCCTAACAGGAGGCTGGTAAATGAATGAATTCATCCTCCACACCACGGCCAGAATTCCTTCCACAAGAAAATATGAAGCTGTTTTCCCACACGAAGACTTTCAGTAGCTGCCTCGCCCCTCAGGGGGTACAGCATGGCACCCACTGTGCTCTCTGCCTGGGCCAGCCAGCCGCTCCTGCTCTGGGGCCACTTGCCAGCTGCCATTCCCCAGACACACGCTGAACTTTCATGGGTTTTCCTTGGCCTGGAATGTTCCCTGCCCTCTTACCTCCCTAAAAACTTCCAACTCAAGTCTTCGAGACCCCTTTAAACCTGTCCTCCCTTGTGAGACCCCTGCCAGAAATCCCCGTCTCTCCCAGCCGACCCTGGCTCAGCCCCTTCCTCCTCTTTGTTTACTCGCATCCCTCAGAGGATGGTCCACAGAGATTTGTCGGTGTGGCTCAAAAGTCACACAAGCAGCAAGGACTTATTACTTCAAATCCACAGTATTAAAACTCCAACACCTTGGAAGCTCCTGACATTCTGAATTAAAAGTGGACTAAACCATCCAGAGAGAAACAGGTATTAATGATGTTACTCTAGATGACTAAGTAACCGCATGGACCTTCCCTAGCCTCAGCTAGTCCTGATCTTAAAAAAAAGACTCCAGAAAACCTGAGCTACCCTCCTCTAGCAGCAAATCAAGTCACAGAGTCAGTCACGCAGTTCTAACCACTGCCCTACCTCTTTCAGCAAAGAACAAGCCATATATTTTCTGTCTTCCTAAAAATATGCAGCTTTTAAATATATCCATCACTTTGGCACTCTCTACTGCAGAGCTTAATAAAGGCAAAACCACTGAAATTCAGGAGATGTCACAGCTCAAAGTACTCCGTGTGTGCAAGGAGGAACGTCTGGCCATGACTGATGGCATAATTCCCCTAGAGAATAGTCTTGTCACATGGCAAGGAAACATACATAACATGCATGGAAATGCCACAAATATGATTCTGTATGTTTTAGCTAGAATGGCAACAGTGACCTTTGCGGGTGATTTTTTTACAAGAACAGAATATCACCATCACTAAAGTAATTGTTTATCTTCATAAAAAGACTCTTCTGAAGTCACGTTCACATTTAACAGCTAGCTGAGCTATACCCTGAGACCTGAACAACCCAATTCCTTTTATCCTAAATGCTGGTCTCACATCAAGGTCCACTGTTGGGTTCGGTTCCCTCATCTAAGAAAGACTTGGTTATCAACAGGCAGTGCAGGAAATGGTGCTGACGCCATGCTGGAACCCAGAGCTGCCTTTATTTTAACCCCCACCAAAAAACCCCTGGGCAACTGGTACCAGTCAATGATTCACCAAGCACCAGCTCTCAGCTTTACTCAGCGTCCTTAAACTCCCCTTGGGGCTGCTCGGAGATCAATGATTAGCTGTCACCGCCTCATAGGAAGCCGACGCTCTCCTGTTTCTCAAAAGGGGCCCTTACATTGAGCACTCCACTGCTCAGGTGGAACCAGGTGAATTTTAATAGATGTACAGGTACAAGACTCGAAGAGTGGCAGGGTTTCTGGAATGGAGAGATTCGCACTTGACCTTTGGAATCTGGGGAATGAAAGATTTTCTGTGAACCCATTATCTTATCTTATTGCATATCAGACTCCAAAAGAAGGGGAATTATGAAACCAAATGACTCAGAGCTGGTAGAAACAAGTGCAAGGCCAGGCCTCCTCTGTAAACGCAGAAGCAGGGATGAAGGCCCACAGCAGACACGCCGCCTGAGGAACTCGGTACCTGAGCCAGACCCTGACGTGGAGAGATCGTAGACGAGATCCTGGAGCGTCTTGTCCTTGGAGAGACACATCTCACATGAGGGATCTTCCATGTCCAGTCTCTGGCGGTTGTGATAGACGCGCTGATGATAGTTAATGACAAGGAAAACAATGATGATGATGAGAAACAGGAGGAACACCGGGCCGGCAATAATGCCTACCAGCTCCACGGGGCCCCACATGGAAGGGTGCTCAGGCTCCTTGAGGTGACCTGGGTCGAGTGAGAGAGGAGAGGGAAAGAACAAAGAGTAAAACAAGGGAAGGCTGTGGGCTTGTTTACCCCCAACCCTGCTCCAAGTGCCGATGCCCTTCCCTCTCCGTGGGTTCACGGTGCCCTGGATCTTTCTGGTCTGCCTGGAAGCTCTCAAATTCAAACCTCTCTAGTTAAGGTGTCCTTTGCAACAGTCAAGCCACAACCCACTTTGTAATTTCACAGCATTTCATGGGACCATTCCCTCCTCAGCGCCCCCAGACACATGCCAGGGTCTACTCTTCCACTTACAACAGCTCCTTTAAGCTCTGCCCATCTCTCTCCTTCTACTCTGACCTCCCCAGTAACGTCATCTAAACAGCAGACATGCAAAGGGGTGGCATCTAATACTTCTCAGTCTCCATCACTGTCCTCCTCTTATTCTAGCCCCTCTTCCCATTTTGCTGTCACCCTCACCCCAGCAGCTGCCTTCACACGGCTCTGGGGCTGTCTCCTTTGGGATCAGTCCCATGCCCTCCCGTGCGGACTACTGCCTGGCTCCTCCACTCCTCACCAGCTGCCTATGGCTGCTCAGTCACCATCCAAAACGCAGCTTTCACCTCTGGGACCAACCTGATGATCTGTCTCCCTATCCTCTAATCCACACATCTGACTTGAGAGGAACCCCATCCCTTGTCACCTTGGGGAACTGTTTATCTATCATCAAACCAAGGGAATGAGGAAGAGCAGAGAAGGACAAATGACGTGGGTGCCCTACCTCCAAGAGGAGCCAATAGTCCGACAAGGGTGTCACTCACCACTGGGCACCCTCAGGTCGATCCTGTTGCAGAAGTCAGTGTAGCAGCAGTGGGTGTTACGCAGGTCTTCGGAGCTCAGGCAGTAGAAGGGCTTCCCGGCGGGGACCAGCTCCACTTTGGGGATGCAGGTGCGCACGTGGTGCTCCATCCCATCCAGGTTGAAAATGGAGACCATGCAGGCCCCATCTGTTTCACACGTGTAGTTGGCCTGTAGGCAGCTGGTGCACGCACACAGCAGAGCTGCAGGGAAGGTGGAATGCACAATAACATCAATGGTGAGAACTGACCCCAGGTCCTTTTCCAGACTTACAATATAATCCCTTAGCATACTTGACGCTCCAAAGCAAGGTGCTTTTATAGACAACTGAAGAGGATATCGTCAATTGGGCACATTTTTACCTGTTTATTCAGCTCACAAACAAGCCTTGCCGGCCCCCCATCTTCCTCTAAGTGCTCTCTATCACGCCTATGAGAAATAGAGAAACTAGCTTTTGAACTTAGCCTTAGACTTATTATAAATTATTCTGTGGCTGGGAAAGAAGTTTTCCTTTAAATTTAGATGCCTGAGGATGAAAGGAAGGCACCTTCCCTTTGGAGAATATAGGACACCGCCTCCCCGCCCCCATCCAAACCACCTAGGGTTCCTCGGAGCCATCATCGGCCCCATCTCCGCAGGCACTAGGCCCGCCCACGGTTTCCTGAATGCAGTATGCCGGCTCTCACACATTCTTCTGCTGCAATGCTTTTTTCCTGGCTAATTCTTATAAATCCTTTAAAATTCAGCTTAAACGTCACTTCCTTTGAAACGCTTCCCCTGACTAGTCCAACATCATCCACGGCTGGTGCTCCTCTCAAAGCATACCCCCGCAAAGAGGATGATATTAGCGCCCCCTCCTACGGTTATTGAGAGGATTAGACGAGCTAATGCATAAAAAGTGCTCCATAAATTCAACCCACTCTGAAGGGCCCTGGATATCACTTTAAAAATATAACATATATATATATATATATATATATTTTTCAAATAGGTTGTGTGTGCAATGGTCTCTGGGACTGAGTTTTGCTAGGCGTGTATTACACATAAGTGTGCGCTGTTGACAGGAAATTACCGTAAATGAATTTGGCGCCTCGGAAAGCCAGTTCGGCAGCCCTGGAATCTGAAATCCTTTATTTATCCGTCTAACAAGAATAGCGCAGACAGCAGCAGTTGGTCCTCCCCAACACTGTCTCCCACAGGCCTAACCTAGCCCTGACCTCTTCGGATGGGCAGGAGTATGGCTGTGGCCATGACGAGACTTCAGTTGGGACCCACAGTGCTGAAAGAAGCATTCGCCGATCAGGGGCAGAGGTGACAGGGCCCACCCGAGCCTCAGACTGGACACTAAGTGAATGCGATCTGGATACCCAGTGGGAATATGCTCAGACTGGGGCCCCTGGAGAAGAGATGTCGATGACCAGCCCCATGACAAACCAGCCTGTCGCAACTCACCCTCCAGGCTGTCAACGGTCTATCTTGGTCTCTCCCTCCAATACACTGGAAGGCATCTCTTGGCTTTTCAAACCCAAAGAGAGATTCTAAATATCTCAGTGTCCAACCCCTCCTTCCTCAGGCTCTCTATAAATGTCACAATCCCCGGCCATTCCCACCCAAGCAACAAAGGAGAGACGGCGCTGGCAGGTAACGGACAGTGTGGAGCTGCGCTCTCGCCAGTCGCGTTTTCTCCCCGAGTTTGACCAGACCCCTTTCTCCCGGGAGACTTCCAAAACGCGTAGCTCCTGCCGGAGGGTCAGGCAGTTACACTTTCGAGGCAGGGCATTTAACCAGGTGCCCTGCGGACTAGGATCCAAGCCATAAAGGGAATTTTAAAAGCAGATTCGTCCTAAATTTCGATTCCAACCCTTTTAGACACAAGAAAGACTAAGGAACCTCCTCATTTTTCCTCCCAAATACCTTGATTTGCTCCTCTCTCACTCTTCTGGCTAACTTAAATTTACTTCTGAATCTCAGCACACTGGATCCAAACCTCTTTTACTCACACTGGAGTCCTGACTGTTAATCCAAGAAAACTAATGCCCACGCCCCCTGGTGTCCGTGGGGACATTCAGGCACAAAGGGGTTCCCCGTGGACTGCACCCCTCTCCATACATGTGCCATGGTGTCCAGCAAAGAGAACAGCAACGGGTCTATTTTGGGAAGCAAGACGGGAAAACGAACAACTCCAAGAGGGCTATTCTGAGCACAGTGGGACACGCAGGCCAGACCCGCAGCCGCCTTTCGAAAAAAAGCTCACTTCAGAGTCGGTCAACTAGCAGACAGGAGAGCCAGAACCTTTGGCTCCAGATACTGATTCTCCTTTCGTTGGTTCACGGCCTCTTTCACAGTGATTCATTCTGGAGAACGAACACACCCACACGTGGCTCATTATTTTTGGGAAGTACTTAAACAATCTTGGTGTAAGACAGGAAAGAACAAAAGTGGTGAAATCTGCTAGACGGGACGAAGAGCGGAACTGGGAGCAGGGCCATGCGGGTTTGTGATAAGAGACTGGGCAAGTCCCTGGATCTCTCTGAGCCTCAGCGGGTCAACCAGAAAATACCATTTCGCTTACAGAGATGGTAAGAGGACAAGCCAAACATCCGCCTAGTGCTGTGGGGACTCTGAGAAAGCCTCTCTCTGCACTTATCTGTGCACATCTCTGCAGTTCACAGAACGAGTGAGGAGTCTGAAGAAGATCCATTTTAAGATAACCCTCACCACTGCCCACGCCCCAGAGGAGGTTCCCTTACTATCACTAGAGTCACAGTGGGCTGTCACGGCAGGGACAGGCCCGAAAGACCCAAGCCTCAAATGTCAGCTCTCCCACTAATCAGACGACCTTGAGCAAGTCAGTGACCTCCCTGCACCCGGTGTCCCAATCTGCAAAGTGGGGCTGTTAACAATTACTTCAGAGGACTACGTAAGAATTACACGAAATAATATATTTAAATAGTGCTCAGCAAACTGGTGCTTGATACATTTTAACCCCTCCTCTCAACGTAAAACGCAAACAAACACGCACGCATGAACTGTGTCTCTTTAACTACTAATTAGGAAGTGGCAAGTTACGGCAAGACCACAGCAAGGAGGTGCTGTGGGGGACTCTGCTCTGCCGGTAAGTGGCCGTGTGGCTTTGGGCAAGTCACGCAACCCACCGGACCTCGTTTATCTCCTGATTAACCAGCAAGAAGGGACCGGACTAGATGACCTCTAAAATCCTCCAGCTGAAAACTGAACCGAGCTTCCTTTTAAATTCACATTGTTTAGATCACTGATCCAACACTGGGAAGTTCTGCTTTAAATTTTATATACCTTTTTCTGCATTTTAAACACAGACATCAGGGCTAGTTTTCTGTTAATATTCATTTTTCATTGAAACTAAATAAATGATGATTACAAAAAAATCTCAATTTACTGTAAATTTACTCTTAAGACTACATCACAAACCTAATTTTGATTTCTTTGAAAGCTAAATCTGGGCTAATGATAGCAGCCATTCGTGTGATCTGTTTCACACTGACTCACCAGGTGAATCGGTCCACATGCAGCTATAAACAAGACACACCTAAAACTCTCCAGACTCCACAACCAAAGAGTTACGCGGGAGAAACAGCATAATCAGGAAAACCAATCACAGAGGACCAACCAAATCACTCTACACACAAGCTGGTTAAACAGTGGTCAGGACAAGGGGCAAGCCCGGTGGTGCAGTGGGTAAGTCCCTGCACTCCACTTCAGTAGCCCGAGGTTCATGGGTTCGGATCCTGGAGCAGACCTAGCACCACTCCTCAAGCCACACTGCAGCAGCATCCCACATAAAATAGAGGAAGACTAGCACGGATGTTAGCTCAGTGACAATCTTCCTCTCTCACACACACACACAAGTGGTCAGGACGATAATTCCTGCCAGCCCAGCTTTTGTTATTAACAAGTCAGTCAAACCTGAACCAAAGACAAAACCACTTTGGCAGGATTTGAACATGGTACCAAAACACGATTAGCACGTGGTCTGTAGTAGCATGTAAATACAAATTTGATTTACGAGAGAGGCTGTGTTCTGAGGAAGGCTGACAAGCCCCGACCTGGGCAGAGTGTCCAGCTGCATGTTATGGGGGCACTAACACAGCCAGGTCTCGGCAAAGATGACCTCACTGCAGAGGGGCACTGGAGCGGGTTGGGTCTGCTCTCTGACCCACTGCACACACTGGGTGGACACTCAATGAGACCCGGCTCCCTGAGAATTCCCAAGGACCACCATACAGGGCTAACCTTAAGGCCACTCAGCCCAGTCTCCTGCCTCAGACCACATCCCAGAGACAGGGTGTGGGAGAGCACAGGGCAGTGGCACCAGCCTCAGAAGGCAGGAGGCATGCCGTCTGTCCTGGAAGGCAGAGGCCCACAAGAGTTCTAAAATGGCTTAAGATGGGCCGGCCCCGTGGCTGAGTGGTTAAGTTTGCATACCCTGCTTTGGCAGCCCAGGGTTTCGCTGGTTCGGATCCTGGGTGCAGACATGGCACCACTCGTCAGGCCATACTGAGGCAGCGTCCCAAACAGCACAACCATAAGGACCTGCAACTAGAATATACAACTATGTACTGGGGGGCTTTGGGGAGAAGAACAAGAAAAAAAAAAGACTGGTAACAGATGTTAGCTCAAGGCAAATCTTTAAAAAATATATATATATAAAATGGTTTATGTCTACAGTATTCCTGATTTTCAGCTTCTATGAATTGCCCCTCAGGGATAATAAGATCATCTCGTGGAGCACTGGCCTGTTGATGTACACCACACTGTCTCCTCCAGACTTCCCTGGGCCCCCTTCTAGTCCTACGGTGTCCGAGGCTAGTGCCCAAGCCAGCCTGCACCACCCTTGCCCTTCATGACTTTACAACTTGATCATAAACTGCCTCTCAGCCCTCAGCCCTCCAGATGACAGCATCCATCAGACAGGCCAAACTGACAAGGGCCTATTACAACCCATGATTATTTTAATTCTTCTTCCCCAGACCTTATCCAAACCCCCTACAGCTTCCTTAGGATAGAACAAAGACCACGACTCTATACAACTCTGTGATCCTGAATGGCCAAAATGATCTGAGAAAAAACAAAAAAGGAACGAAGTTAGAGAACTCACACTTCCTGATCTCAAAACTTACTACAAAGCCACAGTTATCAAAATAGTGTAGTACTGGCATGAGTATAG